CCCCAGCACAACGCCAGAAACATCAGCATCCAAACCTGTTCCAAAGCCTGATGCCCTGAACAAAAACCCGTACATAAACACCCTCCATGCTAACCAGCCTCCTGCACAACTCCCGCTCAAACACGAAAGCATTACCATAGGAATATAAGAAGTTCGATTACACTACATTGTGTTACATTATACTACATTATGTAATGCAATATACTATTTTATAGTATGTTCTAACTTCAATATATATATATATACATATAATTATGTGTACGTATATATATATATATATATATATTTCGATAAACAACGACCGGGCGGCTGAGGGCCACGGTTCGTGTGGCGCCCGCGAGGCGCTTCCGGGTTCGTTGGAGGTCTTCCTGTCATCCACGGGTCCCCAGAGACTCCAATATGGGAGTTTCCGAAAATTAGGGGTACCTTATTTGGGGGTCCTTGTAATAAGGATCCTACTATTTAGGGTATCATATTAGGGTCCCCTATTTTCGGAAACTCCCATATCCATTGATTAAGGAATACCCTAACCCAAAGGGTCCTATGTACCGTAGTAGAACGTAGGGTTTCCATATTGGGAATTACTATTAAGACTTAGGACCCTTTGGATAAGGCTCCTAAGATCCCTCATATCACTAAGGTGGATTCCTTAATCAAGGGATATTGCCGTCTCTCGGTCCACGGGTCCAGGGCTTGGCGGGGCTTAGCATAGGGGCCTTAATCATTCGAATAAGGCTTTGGGGCCACTATACAATAAATATAATAGGCAACTCTGAAAATAGTATAGGTAATTATAAAGGGCCCTAGAGAAGTAGGGCTTAGGCTTTGTAGTTTGGGGCTTTTAGTTTAAGTTTAGGGTTTAGAAAAACAAAAAAGGCATACTTGGGCTTATGGGTTGGGGGCTGGAGGTTCAGGGTTTGGGGTGAGGGAGTATTGGGCCTGAGTTGGCTTAGCATTTAGGGGCGCTTGGGGTTTGGGGCTGAGGGCTCAGGGATTCGGGAGTGCAGGTCTTTGTTTTCTGCTTCTTGCTCGGCCGCTTCGAGAATTGACAGTTTGGGCTCGATTGTTGATGTTCAGGGCTTCGGACTGCGGGACAAGACAGCTGAACTGACCAAGATTATATGCATCATATGGGAGTGAGAGAATCCGGGAGGCTACCGTAGAGCGAAACAGTAACAAGGTAAACTGATCTAAAGAAAAACTCCTTTCTCCGAACTAGTTTTGGCGTGCCAAAGTTAGAGGCCGTTACGGGTCGTTACTCACGAAGGTGACGCGTAGAGTGTCGCTTTAGTTCGAGCTGCGAGGTGTCACACCCCTAGTTCGGCTCATCTGCGAATGTTTGTTAGAGCGGAACGAGGCCCAATCGCAAAACTCAAAAGCCGATAACGCACAAACTATATTGAGACGGCCTAAGGATGCAAAGTAATTGGGAATGTGAGCCTGCGGATGGTTTTACCTTATATCAGAACTGGAGCTTTGCTTCCTTCAGAGTCTACTGCTGCACAGTAGACGCTGCACGGTTGCACTCTGCTTGTCGTTGCTACCTAAATAAACTGCGTCAACAGCCCAAGATCTAAACTCAAGCCACAAATACATAAATCACTCAATCCAGAAGCCGACCAACAAATCTCGGTCGGGATCTTCTTGGCCATTGTACCGTCGCTATGTATCATGAAAAGGATCCATGCATTCTCGGTGACTGCCATCTTACGGGCAAACCCTAAGCCCCTAAACCCCTAAACCCCAAACCCTAAACCCCTAACCCCTAAGCCTCTAAACTCTAAACCCTAAACCCTAATCCGCCGAGGGGGTTAGCGGCTAGGGCAGGAGATGCACGCACCGTGAGCCTGCTGTGACATCAGCGTGCCGAGGACCTGTGAAAGCTCCTCCTGGGCTGTATGCGTAAATGTATGTGGTAATATGTGCATATACATATGTATACATATATATATATATATGTATACATATGTATATATACATATGCAAGTGTATAAGCATGAATGATGAATAAATAAATATGTACATATGCGTACCGTGTATGTACACACATGAATAAATAAATACACAAATAAACAAATACATATATATATATATATATATATATATATATGTGTTATATGTTTGTATGTACAAATATGTAGAGAGAGCGAAGGAGCGAGACAGACCTACCTACCTACCCCCCCCCCCCCCCCCCCCCTCGCCCCTCAGCACCCAGCCACCTTACGTACCTACCTACCCACTGACCTACCGACCTGCCGACGTACCAACCTATCGACCTACCGACCTGCCTGCCTACCTGCCTGAAATCATACATGCATACATACGTACATACCTTCATACACAGATACACGCACACACACACACAGACATACACACACACACATACATACTTACGTACATACATGCTCACATACATACTTACTCATATTACCCTTGCACTAAATTACATTACATACATACCTACAAACATACTTACATACGTACATGCGCACATACATGCACACCTGCATACATACAAGCATGCATACGTCCAGGCATGCATGCATATATGCACAGAGACATACATACATACTTAGATTACATTACAGCGCATATCTACATACATACAGACATACATGCACGCGTACATACATACATACATACATACATACATACATACAAGCATACGTACGTACATACATGCATACATACATACACACGCATACGTACATACGTAGTCATACCAACCCATACAGAAATGTAGTACTTCAGTCGCTGTATCCACTGTCTTTCATAAGGGCCCCATGTCAAGAGTGACCAGACGAATCCAAAACAACAAAACCTAGTTGTAGTTTAAATTCAGCTACTTACAAAACTAATATTCCAAGGCTTAGATGTTCAGGTGACCTCCTCGTCAAGTGTCCATCACTGGTGTCTCCCTCAAGTTATTCACCACAACACCCTGACCCAGAACCTGTTCCGTAAAGCGTATTGCTGTTGGGCTAATGGAGGTGTATGGGTTAGCAAGAGTCCCCCAAACCCGAAACCCCTTTTGCGAGTGCAGGGTCCACGAAGGTCCCGTCAGCACCTTAAATTCCAAACCCCAAGAACCCCAAACCATAATTTCTGAAGCTAAAAGCCTAAACGCTGAAGCTGAAAAGCCCATACTCCGGAAAAGACGTCCATCCTGCATCGAACCGTGACCCCTATAAAGGTTAATACAGGAGCCTTAACATTTGGAATAAGGGCCCCTTCAGCCTAAACCCTAAAGTCTAATATAGGGGCGTCAACACGACTTAGCATAAGGGTCAAAATGACCCTGCGGACTAAAATGGGTAAATATTCAAGCTTCCCCCCATCTTGGGCCGTCCTGCACCGAGTTATGCCGCGAGTCGTGTTGCAGGGCTTGGCTCACAGCCTGCCGAAGCAACTTCCAAGTCCTACAGACTTAGGGCTTCATCGTTTAAAGTTTAGGATTCAGGGATTGGCACGAAACACTAAACCCCAAGAGCGTCAAGTTTCAGGTATTGAGGTTCAGGATACCTTCATTCATAAGACACTGCCTTTGGGGTCGAAGCGCCCCAATTTAGAACCTGAGAACCCTAAACTTTCATCCCGAGCCCCTGCAACCACTCAAGCCGCTAAAGCGCCAACCCTAAACCGTAAGTCCTAAGCCTGGGCCGAAACCCTAACCCTAAACCCTAAACCCTAACCCCTCAAAACACAAATTCCCAAACCCTAAACCGTCAACCCCAGACCAACACTCCCCTTTGATTGACAGCAAGATCCGAATCTAAAGCAGGTCGCTCTATCGGGTTTCTGGGCTTACGGCTTGGCCTCTATAGAGCCATGTTTTTGGGAGTTCAGGGTTTTAGAGTTTTGGGCTCATGATTAGGGATTCAGAGTGCTTCGACGGTCAGAAGCCAGGGTTTACGGTGCAGGGTCTGAGCCCTAAACCGGCTCTGAACTTAATTTGGTGATAACGTCAAAGGCGAGGATCTTGAGACTGAGTTTGGACAACAACTAACTCCTCGCGCCAAGGAGTCTAGATCAGACTGTGCCATAATATACTATAATCTACTCTAATCTGCAAAATCTGCTAAAATATGCTATAGCACACGAAAATCCACTATAGCACGCTGTCAAATGTCTTTTTCGGATGGACTGCCGAATGCGACAGCTGAGTCCACGCACAAAAGCAGCATCGACCTTCTGATCGCGCACGCTTTGTGCGGACTGCTGAACCTGCATGACGCACATCAAGCAGCACAAAAGTATGTGGATGTATTTCTCTGCAACATACAAACATATACACATATCAATATGCACATACACATGTATACATACATGTGTATATAGGTATGTGTACATATATATATATATATATACATATGTAAGCATCGACTCTGATGATTGCGTGTGCTTGCACGAAGGGTGACCTCATTCATGAACTGCGAAAGCGGCTTTGCCTTATCGCCAACACGTACGGGAAATGCTCGAGTACATGCCAGGTCCCAGCATCACGTGCCGGATGTCTTCTCTCCTTTCCCAAAGGGTCCTATGTACCGATATAGTAGCATGTAGGGTTTCCATAGTAGGAATTACTGTTATGACTTAGGGAAGTATCCCCCGTAACAGTACATAGGACCCTTTGCGTTTGCAGCCCGGGAGAGGGCAGCTTCCGTGCAAGGCATGGGAGTACGGGAGTCATGAACTAGGAAACGCTGTACTATACAACCCTAGAATAAAGAGATCCTTCTTGTAGGGGCCCCTATATATGGCACCCGTATTGTCCGGAACCCCTACGTGATCGGTAAAGTCGGAGGCAGCCGTTCCAGAAGTTCCGAAACACTGACATCGGCACGGGCCGCTGCGCAATGCATTCCGGTGTGATGTTGTTGGGGACTGAGATATAGGTTGCTGTGATCGATGGAAGTTGCGGGAAGGGATGTCCGTCACTTCAAGCTCTAAACTGATTGCTACTTCCTGCTCTGAGTACTTTAACCCAGAGGATTGGAAGGCTAGGCCCTGGAGGTCAGCCACAGAAAGACCTCCTCACCGCAAGCAGGAACCGCCGGGTCCTGCGTGGCGACATCAGGAAACATTCTGTCGGGCTACTGGCTCTGGGGTTGATGTTGAGGCTGCCGGCTTTGGATTGAGGGTTTAGGGAGTTGCGGTTTGTAGTGTTTTTTTTTTGTAGTGTTTTGAGGCGTTGGGGATCTTTGGGGCGTGAAGTCTTGAAGAGAGCTTAAGATTAGGACGGCTTTGTGAGGGTTAGCCCGTGACACTTCACTCCAAAACCCCGAGCCTCCTCAAACCCAGTCTTTCCGGTTTTGAGGGGTGTTGAAAGGGCTTATAAGCGTTCGGTTCATATGCTTCTTTCCTGAAAGCTGAAGTTCAGCTACCATGAAAGGGACACCGAGTAAACAAATGTCCGCTTGGGATCTAGGGGTCCTAAAATCATTTTTTGCTTTTACGGGCGTGCATGTTTGCGTGTGCATTTCTGTGTGCTCTGCGGTGATGGGTTTTGACCGGGACAGCTTGTTCTTGAGATCGCAGTCTGTCAAAGTTCTGGTGCGGGGTCGAGAAAGCAATGTTAGCTTCGGGCACTTTGGAGTTTGGATTAGGAGATTGGAGGCTGCAGGTTACCGAGTCCCACGGGTAAGGAAAGTACATACTTACCGTAATTTTTCTAAGCTCGAAGGTCCCGTCCAATAAAAAACACACACAAGTAGTTTAGGAATCGAAGTGGCTCCAACTGGCTGCTGCTTCAGCGGTTTGACACTCGAGCGAGTGGCACATGTCCCACGAACTACTATAGGGGCCTTCACAATTACCTATACTATTTGGGGGGTTCCTTATTATAATTATAGTATAATGGGCCCCAAAACCCTATTCTAAGTATTAAGGCCCCTATATTAGGCTTTGAGGATACACCGACAAGTCGAGGCTTTCGGGTTTAAGGTTTAGGATCTGTAGGGACTTGTAGACCCAAACACTACTCCCCCACCCTAAACCCTAAACCCCCGAAATCCCCCAGCAGTCCCAGCTGAAAGCCCAAAAGGCGACGCGATCCGCGCAGTGCCCCTGACCTCGGATTCGAGAGCTCGACCCCCCCCCCCCCCGTGGCGAAGGCTTCGGGTCCTACCCGGACCTTAGAATCCCTAAACTACGTGAGAAGGTGTGTGGGCACTTGTTGGTGTATCTACTCGCCTAAATGATCAGATGTACGCATGTATGTATACATGCATGGGGAATGTACATGTGCATGTGTGCATGTGTATGTGTGTATGCATGCATGTATGTTTGTTACGTGTGTATGCATACATACATGGTTCATACATGCTTGCATGCCTTCTACTCCGGCCGGCTGTGCTCGGCTTCCCTGGACACGACGTCCTTGCCTACGTTTCCAGCTTTGGGGGGGGGGGCCCCAAGAGGCAAATCCAAAAATTCAGACCCAGAAACCCTAAATCCCGCAACCAACCGCGCCAAGAAATGCAGAATCCCTACATGAACCTCAAGTTTGCCCAAGAAGCCCAGATTCACAGCTCTCTCTAAAGCGTCCTGTTGCAGCCGAAGGAGCCACTCCAGTTGTCCTCGTAGCGGGTGAGGCGAATCTCCGCACGGGAGTACCGCCTCCTCGGTGGTGAGATGGTAGGGCTGGGGCGGGGTCGGGTTTTCGGAGGCTTGTGGTTGGTCTGTAAACAGGACAGAATTCTGTGGGCGCCGGTGCAACCAAACTTAAGGCACACACGGTGTGTAAGCGCATTGCCTGGGATCGCAACTTAGATCCAAAACTGCCCCTCGTCCCTCTCCGAAAACCTACCTGGACTCTCTATGGTAGTTCCTTTGTTTGGTTGACCGGTATTCATAGTTGGGGACCCATGAAAAAAACGAATCAAAGGGTTCCGTCTGGGTAAGTCCAACAACAGAGGGGGGAAGGGGGGAAAGCAGTGTTTAGGGTTTTGGGGGCTTGCCGCCATCGGTGGGTCGAACTGCAAGCATGCTGCCGCTATTACCCGGATACTAGTAGGATGGCGACTAGCAAAGCCAGTCTCAGCAACAACACACTGCAAGACCCCTCCAGAATACTGCAAATGCCTGGCTGTCGTCAAGTTGATGTGCAAAGGTGTCTCGAACTGCCTAGAGATTACAACCTGGCAGCGGTCGCACCTCACATCATCAAACCCCCTGAGCTGCACCTAAAGCCACCAACCCGTGAGAAACGATGACCCCATCCACAAAATACCAGAACCTTGAAACACGACCCTAAAACCTTAGGCCCTGAAACCCTTGTAGTCACCCGTATGCCTTATAGCAACCCTAAAACACATAGTTGCACTAACGCAGCCCTGACCCGTACCCTAACCCTCTTGTGTAGCCCTTCTTGTAACCGTTAGGCGCTGTAATTCTCACAGCTTTACACTGGGAAGACCCCCTTATAGAACCCTGTAACACCAAAAAACGCTATTTCACTCTATACAACCCTTGTGGTAATGCTTTGCGGTACTCTTCTAAACTCTAAACCCTTAACCCCAAACTTTAACCCCTTACAACTTAACCAGATCCTGAACTCTAAACCATCAACTCTAAACCCTTCAACCCTCATCACTTTACCAAGCCCCTAACCCAAAAACCCTTGTGTCATGTAAGGGCCTTAAGAAGTAGAATAGGGTGTTGGGGCCGGTCTAGACAAAACAATGATACCCCCCAAAATAGTATTGGAGCACCCCACCTGCTTTGTTTGTGGTCCTTATAATAGGTACAATAAAAAGGATCCTACTATCTAGGGTACCGTATTAGGGTCCCTCTTTTTTTCGGAAACTCTTATGTATGGCTTATAACAAGAATAATAAGGATCCTACTATTTAGGGTATTATATTAGGGTCCCTCTTTTTCTCGGAAACTCTTATGTATGGCTCTCTGACCAAGCAGGGACCGAGGCACAGCTTCTGCACGAGCACCTCGACCTCTTCGAAGGGACAAACCTAGGGCGCCGCGGAATGTGGCGTTTTTGTGGCTTCCGGGTGGGTTTAGGGTTTAGGGTTTCAGGGTTCATGGTTGAGGGTGCGTAAAAAATTCTACAAGAACTTGGTCAGGTTTTAGAAGGGTTGACCCCTGGGGCCGTCAAGTCCCTCCTCTGTTTGCATGAGTTGTGTGGGATTTGGGATCGATCAGGATGCTAGTTGGATACGCTTCGTGCCCCTTTATCGGGAAGAGATCTAAGTCCCGTACCCAACGCCGTAGCTCTGCCAATGATCCAATTCACGATTCAGTTGCTTTGGGAAACATTGTTGCCAAGACTTCAAGCCCCCTAAACCGCCTGAACCCCTAAACACTGCTGTAGGCTATATGTCAAGCTGCAAAAGTCCTGCGAACCTAGTCCTTAGACGGTACTGTAAGCCCTTACCAAGCGGCCTACCTAACTATGAAATTCCCCCAAGGACAAGGAGCATTGTCATTCTCGGCATGGATGAACCACATGGGTAGTTCTTGGTCCGCTAGCCTCAGGCATTCACTTTCCGCGAAAGTTAATATCTTAAATGTTTTTTCATCACCTGCTACTCTTGGCATTTATTCTTTAACTATTATTATATTGCTGTTATTTGCTGTTTACTGTCATTACTGTTTCTGAAAACTGACACTATGCCTCTATTGCCATTTGTTTAGCATCCTGTGGTTCATGGGCTAGTTTGGGGGGGTTGAGGGCTTAGGTTTTTGTTGGAAAAACCTCTCTTCTACGCAGAACCTCATCTGCAGTAGCGGCAGAAATCCTGGGGTGACATGCACAATAGTCGGTCGCAGTATGTGAATGCAGACTACACCCCGAAACTCAGACCCTAAAACCTGAAATACTACTAGGGTCCTACTAGGGCAACAAAAAGTCCAACGCACAAAACCCTGCACTCATCAAACCATCCTCTCTTTCTGTATCACGTACCTGATAGACAATACTACAAGAAACCATTGAATTCTCTCAACGGTTCTGAGGATTTATTCCAGTCCATCCATCCATCCATCCATGCATACATGCATACATCGGTCTATCTGTCAGCATCTATCTATCTATCGATCTATATGCACATTATACATACACGCACACACCTATACAGGAGACAACTAGACATGGTAATGATATCAAGAACCGTCTTAATATTGCAAGCTGCCACCTTTTGGCGGCAGCAGCAGCAGCAGCAGCAGCAGCAGCAACCACGATAACAACGGCAGGCGCAGCAGTAGTGACGATGATGACGACGATGATGTCAACAACAATACCAACAGAAGCAGTTTGCAACAGTAGCCGCAATGAAGATAGATATAAAAAATGCAATAGCAACAGTATAGTGCCAGCAACAACAAGTACATCACACAAAACAACAGTCATCATAATCGTAGCACGATCCATAACAATAGCAATACGAATAACAACAATAGCAGGACTAGTATCGATAACCATATGGGTGGTTGTCAAAATTAGGGTCCCTTTTTGGGTTCTTGGTATTTAGGGTACCCAAAAAGGGACCTTAACTTTGAGAACTACCCATATACATACGAGCAATAATGGTCATACTCAGATCTGATCAGTACCAAAACTGAACAAGCCGAATAACAACAATAAGAGTAGTAACAGTATTAATAACCATATAAATGATAAGAAAGATTGTTATAGTAAGATCTGTACCAAAACTTAACGAGCCGAATAACAACAATAAGAGTAGTCATACTATTAATAACCATAAAATGATAACAAAGATTGCCATAGTAAGATCAGTACCAGGACTTCTTGGGACCATATTCAAAGCCATATACATGATAAGAAGGATTGTTATAGTAAGATCAGTGCCAAAACCTCTTGGGATCATATTAATATATATATATATATATATATATATATATATGTATATATATATTTATTTATTTATATATATATATATACATGATAAGAAACATGGTCATGGTAAGATCACTACCAAAACCCTTTTGGGACCCCGGGCTTGAGGACCAGAGGCCCCATGGGCTCCAGGTCGTAGTGAGCCGCCACAAGCACCGCAGCCGAAAACAGATACCTGACAGGGAAGGGGGGTTTCTTATGAAGGTTCTATGGCTTAGGGGGTTCTATAGTAGTGTTCCCATTAAGGGTAGTATAGTAGAGCTGGGGTTTCTAAAAAGGGTTCTATAGCTTAGGGGGTTCTATAGTAGTGTTCCCATTAAGGGTAGTATAGTAGAGCTGGGGTTTCTGAAAAGGGTTCTATAGCTTAGGGTTCTAGAATAGTGTTCCCATTAAGGGTAGTATAGTAGAGCTGGGGTTTCTGAAAAGGGTTCTATAGCTTAGGGTTCTAGAATAGTGTTCCCATTTAGGGTAGTATAGTGGGGCTGGGGTTCGTAGGAGGGTTCTGTAGTTGGGTTCTGAATACAGTGGGGTTCTAGAATAGGGCTCCCTGTACGGGTTCCTGTAAAGGTGCCCTTAGGGGCTTCAAGAAAGGGAATGGGGTTCGGGTTTGGGGTTGCGAGAGTTTGAGGTTTGGGGGTGTCTTCTAAGCCCGAATGAGGGATTTCCACAAGGTACGGTAGGAGGGTTTGATAGGATTGGGAGTTTGGGAGTTTCCGATGAGAGGGAACCCTAATACAGTAGTAGGATCATCTTTTCAAGACCCAAAATGACCTGGAAAACCAGGGGCCCGGCAAAGCTCCCTTCAAGCCCATGGAACCCCGTACAGCCCTGCAAGAGGTCTACACGACTTTGAAAATTACTATAAACTCTGACAAACGGAGCGTATAGTGAACCTCAGAAAGGGTTGGAACATGGGTTCAGGATGATAACCGCTGGGGTTCCTATACTGTACCTGAAGGGCATGAGGATTTTGGTGTTATCTTCCCATTCTCTAACCTCTACTGTAAAACCATTCCTCAGAGACTCCTATATCCCTTAATGAATATACCTTAGATCATATTAAGGATTCTACTATAATTCAGGGTATACTCCTTTTTTAAAGGATATTGGAGTCTCTGGGTAATGGTTTTACAGTAAAAGTCACAAAGTGAGAACACCAATATCCTCATGCCCTTCAGGTGAAGCTTTTAGGGTTTCTAGACCCCAAAACCCTAAACTGGTTCCCAAAAACGCCGGGCTGAATCTGAAGTCCGGCAGCGGTCGGCGCGAGGTCAGCTCCAAGGCAGCGTAAGCGCCTTTCCGGGCGAAGAAAAGGGGGCCTTAAGAAGTAGAATAGGGTCCTTTTAAAAGGGGTTCCTGTAAAGGGCTCTTATAAAGGGTCTATAAGAGCTACTATAAGGGTTTAATGTAGAGGCCTTAAGAATTAGAATAGGGTTTCTTTACAGGGGTCTTTCTTACAAGGGTTACTATAAGGGATCTATAGTCTATAAGGGTACTATAATATAGTAGTGCTATAGTATAAGGGCCTTGAGAATTAGAATAGGGTTTTGGTAATTATTACGGCCCCCTTGTTAAGGCTCGGCATTGTTGGGTTTTGCTTCCGGGGCTTTTGATGGATTCAGGTGCTCGCAGTTCGCACGCTTTTCATCAACGAGTTTTCTAAAAAGGCACCTTTGCAGGTCTCAACAGCAGGCCAGCAAGCCATGGATCGTGCCGAAACACTCACCACCTTCTTCCAGCATTTGCATGCAAAGCTGGAATACGAGGTATAGACGATAGACTCCATATCAACGTATCATTTTTAAACTTTCAGCTTTGGGGGTGAGGATGCCTGTGGCTGCTGCCTGGCATTATGATTCTTGGCAGGCTTTGTGGCTATTGTCCTCGTGAGTTGCCTAAAGAACTTTGGAAAACATGGGGCATATCGTTTCCGGGACAGGGCATGCCTGCGTAGGAGGTGTGTTGAAGGTTCTCTGACCTGCTCTTGCAGGTTCATTCAAACTAATACTTGATTACTGGAAAGGAGCCCACTATACCAAACAAAATCCAAGAACAGCCTAGATTCGAAGCACAAGCCAGCCGGATGTGTTCTGCAACGCTGGAGCTACCGGGGCCAGATTGCACACTCAGGGGTTGCAGTTTAGGGTTCTATGTGGTTCCTCGTGTAAGGGCCTGTGCAGACATGAAGTTCGTGCCATCTTCAGACAGTGCTCAACTAGCTGCTAAGGGTCAGTGGATGCGAAGTCTTCACGGCCATACCGTATGCCCAAAGCTGCAAAGGTCTGCAAAAGCCGACAGTACAAGCGTTTAACACCAACCAACCCCCAGCACAAAGGCGTTCTGAATTATTTGAAGCAGCATTCCTTTACAAGAAGGATAATGCCTCTGTTTCTCAATAATATACTAGGCTCATATGTTCGACCCTTGCAAAGCCTGTAGACAGCCGAAAAGACACGTCCAAACGATCAAAGCCCTTCTGACATAACGGTGTGTTTGATACATATGTACTGCAATAACCTAGACTTGAAAACTCGTCGCATACAATGAAATGTAGGGACCTGATACACTCTGAACCCCTAAACCCAAGCCCCAACACTCCCGAAACCCGAAACAGCTCTTGTCTCAGTCGATGCACCCATGGAGGAGCCCATGATGGTCACCCTGTTCCAGTCCACCCGATAGTTGTCCTTGTCTGTCTGGTTCTGAGTAGGGAATGGGGGAATGGGTTATGGGGACTATTTTGGGGGATTATATAGGGACTACTATAGGGATCCATTCCCCCGTTCCCTACTAAGAACCAGACAGTTGAATTTTGGGCGTGCGGGGTTGAGAAAGAAATGCTTCGGCACGCCCTTTTGTACACCATAGCTACGGATTGCGTCAGCCCAGAAGATTGTACAGAGCCATTCATGCTTTGGGGCTTCGGAGTTTGAGGATTTGGGGCTGAGGTTGCCATGGCTTGGATGACAGGGACAACGGGGTGAGATGCAAGACAAGAATCCCGGACTTGGGGATTCACATTTTGCGCTAAATCTGCCAGGATTGGCCATGCCATGGGGGTTTCTTGAGGAGCAGGCAGAGACCCCTGCTGGGGCGATGATTGTTTGGGGGGGTTTAGAAAATCCCATGAAGCCTAATAAGTTGCCTTGTTTATGACCCCACCCTGCATATACCATCAACCTTTCTGATGCAGGCGGGTTGTTATAATCATTCGACTACATTAAGCGCAACATCTCAAAGCTTGAGACCTCAAGCCATCTCAAGCCACTGGGCTTGATTTTTTTCGTCGGCCGGTAGTAAGAAACACGGCAGACACAGAAGACTCAGGGGTTTGGGCTTTGAAAGGGCTTAGGGTGGAAACTCATCAAATCAGCAAAGGTTTGCTGTTAATTACCGGTTTGGTGGGTGGGCTCATTGCTGAAAATCGCTGCGGCCCCGGTGGGTTAAAGATTGGTTACAGCGACACCACCATGACCGGTGGCGATCATGGCTGTATTCCTAGCGTGTGAATAGCAGAAGCTGCTCCCTTCTATGGGGTCAGCCAAGCTTCTCGGACCAAGGCAGTCAGCTCCACCAAAGCCACCTCCACCTAAGCTTGGCAATTGCAGGGAGCATCCTCATGGGACATGTCGACAACATGCTGCAAGATCATGGGTGCTGTCGACCCAGCCCTACAACCTAAGTCCACCTTGCAAGCAACTTTCATGCTCATCTGAAAGACACTTTGTCTCAGAAACGGTTTGGGATACTAGTAGCCTCGTGCACATCTCCCGGTCTGCATTTTCACCGACTGTCGAACATGACCCTTGTCTAAGCCCAATCCTTTCCTTTGTCATGGTAAGCAGTGGACATCTTTAACGGCTTTACGTTCTATAGTGGACGCGGAATTCTACGACGGAACAACGACTGCAGTTAATGTGCAGCTTTTTCGTCGTCCACCTTGGGCGCCCGTGACGCACCCAGAACGATTCATGGCACAAACAAAGCCCCCATCTTTTTCAGAAACCATCAGAGTTGAAATCGACATTCTCCGAAACCGAGAAAGTGGTAACATGCCTCAATCTTCGAAGTCCACCCTCCCACCTCCTCGTCGTACTGGGAATCTTCGTACCAGCCCCGTCGAAGCCACACGCCAGCGGCGTCACCTGTGCCAGCGCGGATCTGGGAGTCCCCGAAAGCTGTGCGAGCAGATTTCACATATTTTGGAAGCCTCAATAATTAGAATAGAGTTTTGGGGCCCATTATACTATAAACATAAGAAGGAACCCCCCAAAATAGTGTAGGTTATTATTTAGCCCCCTATAGCAAGCTCTCAAACTCCGTGGGCAGTCCGCAGGCTTTGAATGCCACAACGACAGCAGTCGTCACTGAAGTCGTGCTCACCGTGACATTACATGACCGAAAGCCTCAACTGCCCCAACTTAGGTGAGATGTACACACTTTGTAGCCCCTCAAAATCTCACAACCCAAGCTAGTATAAGTCTGTGGTGTAGGGTTCCTGGAACTCATAGTCCCAAGCACCTGATAGCACCCCGTTTCAGGCTTGGGCTCTATGGTGTTTAAACGTGGGGCTCTTTGGGATTGACCCGTATGGAGCTTTAAATAAGGGTTTACGAGTCAAATGTTTGTGCCTGAATAATTACCAACGCTAGTCCCTAGGCTTCCTTATAACTATACTGCAAGGGAAACCAAAACCCTAGTCTTGTTAATTTAAGCTTCAGGGCCCCATATTACATGGTTTCGACTCTATAATCAAACAAAGCCTCTCTCTGCGTCGATCGGGCATTGGGGTGCGAGAAAGATGCACCTAAGCAGGTGCCGGACGTGTCGTGTTTTAGTTTAGGGGCTTGAGATGTCTTGGGCTCATGGAATGAGTTTGTACGAGGCTCGGTTGGGGTTTGGCTGGGCTTTGGGTATACTTCAGGAGATTTGGCACAGAGTGCATACCCTCAACATATAATTACCGGCTCTGAGTACAACTCCTTCGACCCTATAGAATCCGAGTTTCAAGACTCCCCCTTAAACCGCGAGACCCAGCGTTGCGTGTGGACCGATACTCGTTAGGGTCGAGCTTCTTGGAGTCGTTTTTCTGTCTTACAGTTTGTCTTCGCTCCGTGTAGGTATATAGAGGCATATAAAAGATGTATATGTGTGCATATATATATATATATACACACATACAGACACACATACTTTTCTACCTAATTTCCTCTCTCTCCGTGTCTAAGACTAGTTCCACTAGCACAAACGCACGGAAACATAGCCTATTCTTACTATCGGAGAGGGTCCACATACCCGTTTATACATACATACCTACATATACATGTATACATATATGTATATATAATTGTATATAAAGATATATTGGTATAAACAGCTGTGTATATTAAGTATATACACGATACACATTTCATGGCACATTCATATGGTTACATGTCTATATATATATATATATATATATATATATATATATATATATTCTGTGTATCCATATATATACATATGCGCACACACTAAAATATATACATATAGCCCGCTGCCAACAACCATACTAAGCTATGAAACAAGGAGCCCGAAGCCATAGCCTAGACGAGAGACTCAGGCCCCTATCTCATGTTTTGCCTCGTCCCTCCAACTGCAGACCAAGAGCTTTCGCTTCAGAGTTGCCGGACAGCGTTCATCGCCTGCGGGTGTAGTCAAGCAGGGGTGAGATTCTTATCCGACATACAGTAGAAACCGGGCTTCAGGTTTAGCAATTGGTAATTGTGCTTCTAAACCCGATGCCCCGAAGTTTCGCAGGCAGAAGACGTCGAGGACTTCTACGGTCGCGGCAAAGGGTGCACTTGTCAGCTTGCAAGTCGCAACAAATGCGGATGCCACTCTTAGGGGTACTTGCGCGAAGGAAGCCACTAGGTAGCAGATTAAGTCTTCTTGTTTCGGATCCTGGGCAATGCATTGCCAGAAGTACTCAGAATCATACGGGCTTGGGGCCAATGTCGTATGCCAACGTAATGTTGCAGGAGCTGAACATCGTTTGATGACAACACGAGATATAATATAATAGCTCCTACAGTCCCATTTCGATCTCCTTGTTGGGATGTAGCCAAAGACCCACGACCCCGGTGTAAGGTGGGTTTAGGGTCCTTAAACATAAACACACGCCACCGCGTGCTTCGTTCACCCATTGTGACAGCAATCCTGAACCGCGCACGAGTACGACCCGAGGAATTAGGTTTCAGCTGACAGGGGTCTGTGTAAGTCGGCGAGATAACTGTAACCTTAATCTTGAAATCAGGCTGATTCAGGGTGTTGACTGGTCGTGCACGAAGATGTTGGCAGCCAAACCAAGATGACCTCCAACTACACATGCTAATTAAGCCCTAAACCCCTAGACTCTAAAACCTAAACCCCTAGACCCTACGCGTAAATCCTAAATTCCTAGGCCCCAAAACCTACACCCCCAAACCCTTACTACATAAACCCTGTGCCCTACGCGCACACGCACACACACAAACACACACACACACACAAAACAAATGGGAGTTTCCGAGAATAGGGGACCCTAATATAGTGCCCTAGAATGTAGGATCCTTATTATAAGGACCCCAAAATAAGGTACCCCGAATATTCTGGAAACTCCCCAACCCTAAACCCTATAGATCCCTTATAGGAACCCTTATAGACCCCTTTAAAGGAACCCCTAATTTTCGGAATCTCCCAAATGCCCCAACTCAAAGCTTTGCTCTAAGGAGCCCTGGAGAAGGCGAAGGGCCGTGTCGGACTCAAAGAACCTCGGGGTTCAAGTTCGGGGTATAGTACACGGTTTTTAGGGTATAGGATTTAGGGTAGCATGCGATAATTATGGGTAGTATATGGTTTAGGGTTTAGGGTATAAGGGTTTAGGGTATAGTATACGATTTAGGGCATGAGGGTTTAGGGTTTAGGGTATACGGGTTTAGAGCATATAGAATATAGGGTATGAGGGTTTGGGCTTAAGGGTCTCAGGGTTTGGGAGTATAGTATACGATTGAGGGCTTAGGGTAGTATGCGATTATGGGGTAGTATACGGTTCAAGTTCGGGGTATAGAATACGGTTTAGGGTTTAGGGTATGAGGGTTTAGGGCATACGGGTTTGGGTGTTATAGTATACGGTTTAGGGTTTAGGGTTCAAGGTTCAGGGTTTAGGGTATAAGGGTTTGGGGGTACAGGGGTGTAGGGGTTTTCTGGGGGCTTCAGGTTTTAGGGTTTATCAGGGAACTCGAGGGGCTACGGGTTGAGCGCTTTAGGACTTGAGGTCTAACAGAACCCCGACAACCCTCGGGAATCTAAGCATCAAACCTGGCTGAGCCGTAAGCCCCAAACCCAACTTCCTCCACAAACCTTACAGTCGTTTAAGACCGAAAAAGCCCACAACCGCAGACGGCAGTGCAGCATCTCGGGTTTAGGGGCCTACTGCAAGCCTCGGGCCATGCCAACATGTGCAAGGCTGAGAATGCTCAAGAACTTGTTGTAATACCACGGAAACCGTGCAGGTTTGCGGGGGCCTCCCAAAAATGTGCTACACGAGTCTTCATTTTTCTCTCCCACGATAGTCATGACAACGCGTTATGCACGACAGCGGAAGACTGAGAGAACTGCGAGAACGACACAGCTTCAACCGTTAGTCCGTTTAGGTAAATACCGTGATGCAACTATGAAGTTGCGTCTGCTAAGCAAAACCTACCGTGATCATGAGGGTGATGATGATGATGATGGCGGCACGTAGCAATGGTCACTGTCGTGGTCGTCGTCTTTGTCGTCATCGTCGTGGTCGTCAATTTCGTCCTCGTCCTCATCGTCGTTTTGGGTAGTCGTCGGTGCCGTCGAAATAGCAACTGTTGATGTGCTGCGCCTAACCGCGCTTTGGCGGCAATGCTAGCAGAATGGTGAGGGACACGGATGGTCCTCAGTGATGTAATATAGGGGCCTTCACAAGAACCTATACTATTTTGGGGGTTCCTTAATATATTGATAGTATAATTGGCCCCAAAACTCTGTTGTAATTACTAAGGCCCCTATAGTACTGCGATGTGTTCTTATGATCCTTCCCATCCGACTTACGTAGTTGCTGAACCTGTGCATTGAAACTTCTGGCGAGGCGCAGATTGTTGTCGCCCTCAATCTTCCCCTGGCAGAATACTCTTAGACCCCTTTTCCCTATGACCCGAAGACCCTAAAGCCCGGCGCTCAAGCCCGGCACCCTGAAATTTGGCAGCTTGAGTGTCAGCTGGTTTAGGCACTGGTGCTTTGTTCTTTGGGGTATGGGGTTTAGTCTGTCTTAGGGTTTGGGGTGTAGGGAAGCGTGAAACTCAGATTTTCGAGTCGCTCCGAACCCAACATAGAGGGGATTTACATACACAGCCGCAAGATAGACACTAAACCTGTCAGCGCTAAAGCCGCTGAAGCTCTCACTTCCCAAAAAACGTAACACAACATAGTTACTTGTCTCTGAAGCCGCAGTCCGTATAATCAAAATAGACCAACAACCCAAACAGAGCCCTCAAAGCTATACATGTGTGTATAAATATATAAATAAATATATATATATATATGTATATGTCTGCCTATATATATATATACATGCACATGCTATGCTACCGAGTACATCCATTAAAGTCGCAGGTACTTGGAGCTTTGGAAGGTTTGGTAAATAATGGCTTTGGGGTTTAGTGTTTCGGGCTTTAGGGCTTAGGGTTTTTGAGAGTGTCGGGTCCTTCTGCCGGCAGCTCTGCAGCATGAAGATTGATTAACTAAGGTCGGGCCCTTTACTCAACTATTTTTGTTCTCAAAGCCCAAACCCAAAGCCTTGAACAGCCCCAAACCGCTGAGTCAGCCTGAACACAGCGTGAACAGCATCCCTCAGACGGAAGGCTCAGAACTTGGAACCCCAAACTACCCGCTATTGTCACATGGGTTCGTGTTGTGTGTGTTTTCCAGATGCCATAACCTGCAGTGCTGTGTGTGTTGCTGTTGTGTGTTACTTTGAAGAGCATCTGCAGGCCACGAAACGGTCAAACTACATGGCTTTCTCCTGAATCGGTGGAACTATGTTGCAACCGTGGAGCATGCATCGAGTGCAAGAAGACCACCAATGGCCACCTGTGCTGCAAACTGGTTCGGAAAGACAAATCGAACGACGGGAACAAAAAATCAACCCTGAGCGCTGGGCCCCAAAACAAAGAAACTCAACCGTAAGGCCTGGACGAACCCGTAAACCCCGGAGCCTAAAAGAACCTATGAACCCTCAGGCAATAGTAGCATTTGCAACACCCACGATCCGATGAATGATGGCTTTAAAGTAGAATGTAGAAGGGCTCTGTAAGGGTTCTTGTCTAGAAGCTCGATCAGAATTACGATGCTGGGTGTGTGTGTGTGTGTGTGTGCACATGTGCATGTATGTATGTATGCATGGATGTATATGTATGTATGTATATGTAAACACAATACCTGAATACATGTATATGTCGTATAATACTACCCTGTGATATATTTACGCTATATGTTGTATGCCGTGAGCTACTGTGTAAGCTGTATAATATATGTTGTACTATGCACCACATACAAACACACACACACACACAAACACGCAAGCAAACAAGCAAGCAAACAAACGAACAAACAAGCAAGCACGCAAGCACACAAATAACCAAACAACCAAGCAACCAAACAAAAAAACAAGCAACCAAACTAGCAAGCACACAAACAAGCAAGCAAACGAACAAACACGCAAGCAAGCACACAAACAACCAAACAAAGCAACAAACAAACAAAGGAACAACACACACAAACACAAACACACACAAACAAACAAACAAACACAAACAAACACACACAAAAACAAACAAACACAAACAAACAAACAAACAAACAAACAGACAAACAAACAAACAAACACACACACACACACAAACATAAACAAAACAAACAACGAAACAACTGCAAAAGAAACTAAACAAACAAACATACTTAACTACATGTGTGCATATATATATATATATATATATATATATATATATATATATATATATCATGTACACCATATACGTAGGTGTATATCTATATATGTATGTATGTATATATATATATATATATATATATATATATATATATATCTTTTGAATCGAAGAGAGATCTTGTGCTTGTAGCACCAAAACCCTTGAAATAATTAAGAAGCAGTCGCTGCACAATGTCAGGAACCATCACAACTCGCCAAAACCCATAGCAGGTCAGCCTAACACATGAACGAAGACGGAGCATGGCATGGTACATAAGACGCCACAGGTGAGAATCCAAGAGAGGAAGCAGCAACGTTGTTTGATCATCTGTTCGACTTTGGGCAACGGCAATAGGCCCAGCAATCATGCCGCCCTGAAACAATGCGCTAATACCCCCTGGTCTTGAGCAATTGAAACGGGTATATGAGATTCTCTAGTGTTGTGTATATATGCATATATGTATATGTATCTGCACATTCATTTATGCTTATGTTTTATTCGTATAACCTGATCTTATAACGGATGGTTTGAAACTTGTGTTATGTTATGCCGCTTCTGCTTTTGTGGTTCAAGGCATGAGGAACTTTTGGAGGTCGGGCTCTGCAAATCCAGTCCTCCAAAGTGAGACCCTGCACCTAAGACCGACCTCGAACTCCAGAGTTTTAAGATTTCAAGGGTTCCTTTTGAGGCTCCTAGTAAGGGCTACGAAATTCGTCCTGTATAGGGTTTGATAGGGCCTGATAAAGGGGCCTGCAGAAACTGAACAGTGTTTTTGGCACATGCAGGGACTGCCAGCTTTGTTGCTCGGACCTCTATATTGCTCTAGCTGCACTGGGGGCAGTACGGGTTCTCGGTTTAGGGTTTAGATAGAGTTCCCAAGTTTAGACTTGAAGGCTTAGAGCAGCGCTTGGCAGCTTCACGAAAGGCTGTAGTTTCGGATGTTGCCTTCCCTAGCACTTAACCCTGAATCCCGAAACCAGCTACATAGAAGCTCCTAAACATTAAAAACTCAACCCTACACTCCAAATGAGAAGTTGAGCAATCGAGCATCCCCTCCATGTCATCGTACATATCGTCCGGCTGATGTTTGTATCCGGTGGGTAGGTACCTCGGCCAGCCCAATGCTCGTCTGTCTTGAAGATGTTTGGGATAGAAAGGTTTACGTAATATAGCGGCCTTAATAATTAGATCTGTGCCATCTATGTACGTCTGCCTGCGGCTATGTGGCAAGATTCCTAGGCCATGGTGGTTCAATGTAGTTCCATTACAGGCAACTGTGTGCATGGAAATCTACATGTCTGAAGCCATACACGTATGCATACATATCATATCTATATACGTATGCATACGTGTACGTCCTTAAGCATTTAAGCCAACTACGAAAAATGACGAAACTCACGCTGGCCCTACACACCGAAAGCCCTGTTGGAGCACTGTAATTACCCAAAAAACCCAAACCATCAACCCTCAAACCCCAAGCCCAAACCCTACACTGTCAGCTGGAACCTTGCCATTTTGCACCTAGTCCTTGAAACCCCAAGGCCTAAACCCTAGACTGCCAGATTTAGCCTTGCCAAGTCACAAAACCCTAATCCTTGAAACAGATTTAACCTTGCCATGTCGCAAGCTGAACTTTAGCGTGGTGCCGCTGGAGGCATCGAAGGTGAAACAGCGCTGGGTGCCAGGTGGCTGGTCGGACCAAGGCAACCTCTGGAGTTTAGTGCTCCAGTTTTTAGGTTTAGGGTTTACGTATAGGGGTTAAAGGTTTGGGGTGTACGCATAAGGGTTTAAGGTTTAGGGTGTAGGTACAGGGGTTTAGGGTTTAGGATGTAAGTATAGGGTTTTAGGGTTTAGGGTCTGAGGATTAGGGCTTCCGTAGTGGTATTGTATTACAAGGGGTCATATAACGGTTCCACAAGAGATTTATGGTTAAGGGCTTTTAGCCGTTGGGCTTAAAGTTCCGGATTCATTGCTTTTTTGTTGGAGTGCCGTTCAAATTCATTGCTTAGGGTTTCAGGTATCTGGGTTCTGGGGTTCTAGTTCTGTACGGATATAGGGTGGTAGTACTTAGAACAGTAGGTCAGTAGGATAGTGGTTTTTGAGGAGTGTATGTATATGTAGTAAAACGATATAGCATGAAAATTTCACACGCTCGCTTGATTTATTGGGTTCCTCTTGGGGGCGAGGGTGGGGGCGGTTCTCAAAACTGAGGAAGGATCTCATAGCGGGTAAGCTTAGACAGAATGGGCCCCATCGATGCAACTCCCATCTTGTTTATAGAGTGCATGTTCTAGAGAAATGGTTGCCAGTGCGACCTTCATTTTATCATTGTTGAGGGAGGGAGGGTGCTTGTCAGGGGTATTCATCGCATTCTCGAGCCGAAACAACACAACCGGTAACTCCAGAATCCCAAACTCGTGAACACTTCAAAACTGACTGATCCTGCACTCTGAACCCTTGAATCCCGAACGAAAACAACTCAACCAAGTTCACTCCTGGAACCTGATACCCCCAACCCGCTAAATTCACATAAACCCCTAGACCCCTGAATCCTAAACCCCTATACCCTAAACCCTGAAACCCCTGCACCCTAAACCGCAAACCTAGACCCTAAAGCCCATATACCCCAAACCCTGAAACCCCTGCACCCTACAACCCCTCAACCCTAAACCGCAAATCCCTTATTCTACCCGAAGCACCGGCCCTGGACCCCGATGATCCCAGAGCTTTGCTCGTCCAAGGCTAAGGAGCGGCCGGTCTGGGCCAGCTACGAGCTCCTCTCTGCATCTGAGCCTAGGGTTTAGGGAATAGGGGTGTAAGGTTTAGGGATTAGGGGTTGAGCGTTTAGGGATTAGGGGTTTAGGGTTTAAGGATTAGGGGTTTCGGGTTCGGGGTTTTCGGCTTAGGGCTTAGGGGTTTAGGGCTTAAGGGTTTATGGAGGGTTCTCAGGCCCTTTGGGAGGTTTACGGGGTTGGCCCGTTGACACGCAAACAACTTCTACCATGCAGGGACAGGTGTTGATTTGAAGTTGATTGAAGGAAGATGTCTTGGCGCATAAATGAAGTCGGAATTCCGAAACCGGAAGCCCTGACCTGTAATTATGTAGGTGGTTCAATTAGCACTTCAGGGTCTGTTTCTCCAGAGCACAGCGCCGGTGTCCCAAGATGGTGCCGGCATCTGACAGCCACTGTACAGCACAAAGCACGATGGACAAAATTGACCGAGTGAAACAAAATGTGATACGGAGTCGAACAGCGAAAAAGAATATGGCACAGCACTACTGGAAAATTTCTTGATGCCGCTGCTGCCATTCACGACCGTCTTTCGAATCCAGCCAAGTCTCCAGAGAAACTGCCAGGTCAGGAGGTGCCAGCTTGGACTGTTTCTTGCCCAGAGCGGCAGTGGCCGCCAGAGAATGGATCTCGCGTCCTTTGCCAACTCGCTGGGAGACAACACTTTCCAAGCAAGAAGGAAGATCACGTGGCACTGTTGCCCTCTGGCAACGAAGGCGCTCGTCTCGAAGGTGACGACAATCAAAATCCAGCTGCCACTCTTCTGGATAAAGGTATGTATCATCGTCCAAGTCGTAGGCGATGCCGGAGTCCTCCTTTCTGTAAAACTAAACTATGCAATGTACTTACTCCCGTTTATTTGTGCAACATCATACCTTTACAATAATGACCTTCGGATGCTGCTTGTTGGAAAAAGTCTCGCTTGGTCAGGCCGGTTATGTGCGAAGCCACAAGTGACGATGAAGACATGACACGGGGGCTTTAATAATCATTAGGGGCATTGGGCCAACTGAGCTGCGGGTTTTATTTGGGCGAAGACGAAGACGACGAAGGTAGGTATGTATATATATATATATACACAGTGTTACTCGAAACCACAATGTTTCAAGCCACGCACACCCAAACCCTTAATTTCAGGCCGAAAACAACCCTGAAATCCTGCATGGTGATCAACCTCCCTGACCGTTACGGGCCCGCCCTGGTTTAGTCTTTCAGGGTCCTGTGGGGGTTTAGGGCTTTCAGGGTCGTTCTTGGTGTTTAAGGTTTACGGCTTCTAGTGTGTTTTGGGGCTTTAGGGTTTAGGGTTTTCAACGTCTTTAGGGTTTAGGGCTTAGCGCGATTAATGTTTGGTAGGGCTTGGGATTCTCAATGTCTTTTGGGGGTTTCGGGTTCTCAGGCTTTTAGTGCCGAGCTGGATTTAGGGTTGGGGTTTTTAGTGTCTGTTGCACGGGGCTTTCGGGATAGTCAATGACGTTGCTTTTTTATGTGGCTCCATACGGCTTAGTTTTTCATCTCTGAGCCATGTTTTTTGGGTTGGGGGCTGTATAAGTTCTATGGACGCCCTGTATCGGGCTTACTTGGGATTTACACAAGACTTATGTGTTGAGGGTTTAGAATGCAATTATGTTTCACGACTAGTTTAGGATTCGGGGCGTCAAGGCTCGTTCAGTCTTGCAAATCAGGATTTTTAACTTTAGGGTTTCGGAGTTTCGCTTCGGGTTTAGGGTTCAGGGTTTAGGATTTCGGCGTTTCAGGGTTGAGGGCTTGTGCGACGTGGGTTCGAACCGTTCCTCTGAATCGAACTCTTCATCCGATCTTGCACCACAACGAAGCTCAGGGCTTCGTATGCCCCGGCTTCCGGGTCTATTGGATAACTGTGGTGTACTGTTTCGTATGTTGTGGTGCTTTTTAATAGATGTTGATATATGTTGGTGTACAGTGTTTAACCCTTCAATCCCTGTAAGTTCTCTGAACAGCATCCACACCTGCTGTCCGAATAAACCCGCACAGAAGACAACCAACCGTGCACCAGAAACCTCTTGCCTATGAGCGCTAAGGCCCCAAGCTCCTAAAGACCCTAATATAGCAACCGTAACCTTATACCAATTAGAACAGGGATTGTGGGTTATGAACGACTATATAACTAGAATAAGGACTCCCAACATCGTTTCGGTCCCAGCATTGACTAAACCCATCCCCCCAAGCCCCAAGAAGGCCCCAAATAAGGCCAAAGCAGCCACACGGGCGGTGACGCCCAAGATGCGGAGCGGCAATCACAGTTCGAGGCTCGCAGGAAGACCTACACGATTTAGGGCATAGACTTGGGGTGTAGGGTTTAGGCCATTGTTATGCGCCTTTCAGCAGGGTTTAGGACATAGGGTTCAGGGTACGGAACTAAACGATAGATACCGTAGCTATGGGTCCTTCTCAAAAAGGCTATACAGGGATAACCTCACAGAAGCATTATAGTTTTGCAAGGGTTAATCAGGCAGCGGGTTTCAAAGGGTTGCGTAAGGGCTTCCTGTGGAGTTTGTCAGATTTGAGTGTGCCGTACGTAGCGGTCCTTATACTAACGATATGACCGTTTCTTTATCGATACGAGGGCCGGCATACCTACATCTCTAAGCCTTTTTATATCACATTTGCCTTGTAGGAAAACCTCAAGCAATCTCCCAGAGACGGAGATCCTCATAGGACGCTTATGTGAACCGTAAACCAGATACTTACCCACAGGATAACCCGTATAGCAAACCGTTTATAGAGATCCGTATTTTTGACCTTTCTAATACGTGTATTGATAGGAAGCCATACAAACCCCTGCAGAAGCCCTTTTAACTAACATGTTGAAACAAACTCCGCTCACTGTTCCCTTAATTTCAACTCTTAATCCCTGATCCCTAACCTCTACATCTTAACCCCAGAGCCATCAACCCTAAATCTTGACCCTAAACCCTCAGTCTTAATCCTCAAATATTAAACCCTAAAACGTAAATCTTAATCCCTAGACATTCCCCAAACCCTACACCCTCAATCTTAATCCCTAAGCCCTGAACCCTGGAACCCTATTGTAGATACCCTTATAGAACCCATCAAAGGAACCTTAAGTAACCCTATAAGATCTGTTTGAAAGGAACCCTAAACCCTAAGTTGGGATCCGAAGTGCCGAAACATTCCCTAAGCCTACACCCTCAATCTTAATCCCCAAGCCCTAAACCCTAAACCCTAAGCCCTAAACCCTAAACCCTAAGCCCTAAGCCCTAAACCCTAAGCCCTAAACCCTAAGCCCTAAACCCTAAACCCTAAGCCCTAAACCCTAAACCCTAAGCCCTAAACCCTAAACCCTAAGTTGGGATCCGAAGTGCCTCCGCCACCTCACCGGCTCGGGGGCTCCGGAGTTTGAGCTTCGGGCCCCAGGTGAAGTGACGAGCCTTGGGGGCTGGGGCCCTTTTAAGGGCTTAGGTTTAGGGTTTAGGGGTTATAGGGTTTAGGGTTTAGGGTTTAGGGGTTATAGGGTTTAGGGTTTAGGGGTTATAGGGTTTAGGGTTTAGGGTTTAGGGTTTAGGTACTATAGGGTTCCCTTGAGGGGACCCCCCTTTTAAAGGGTAGTATAGGCCTCTTTGAAAGGGCTTCTATAGGGTTGCTTCGTAGGGTTAAGCCCCTGACAAAGGTACTGTAGGGTTCCCTTGGGGGGATCCCCCTTTTAAAGGGTAGTATAGGCCTCTTAACGGGTTACTCTGCTATAGGGTTCTTTTGTAGTGTCCGGGGGTTCTTTAACTTGAACGGGCTTCTATAGGGTTGTTTCGTAGGGTGCCCGTAAGAAGCCCCTAACAAAGATACTCCGGGGTTCTGCAATGGGGTCTTTAAAGGGTAGTATGGGCCTCTTAACGGGTTACTCTGCTATAGGGTTCTATTATAGTGTCCAGTGGTTCTATACAAGGTCCCCTTTCCGTTTTAGGGTCCCTTTTAGAGGGCTTCTGTAGGGTTCTATAAAGGGTCCCCTTTTAAAGGGCTTTGGTACGGTATAGTGTTCTAAAATGGGGTCCCCTTTATGGGTACTGTGGGGTTTGGGGTTTAGGGTTTAGGGCCCCCTGTCAGGAGTTACTATGAGGAATGCTGTAGCTACAGGGTTCGTCCAAGTTTTCTAGACAGATCAAGCACTCTTTAAGGATTACGTTGAGGATTGCTGTAAGGACTACTGTACATGTACATGTACATATACATATACATGTACATGTACATATGTATATACATATATATATATATATACAGATATGTGAAAAGAAATATGAAGGTTACTATATACAAAGATTTAGGGCAAAGTGGCGAGCCTTTAGAGCTTTGGGCTCCGGGCTTTAGGTTGAGGTTCGGGGTTCAGGGCTTGTCTTGCAAGGTCTTGGAAGGTTCAACAAGCTTTTATTAGGATAAAGTTCTAGGGGGCTTCTGTAAGCTTCATACTGTCTGGTTTTTGCAAACATAGAGGTACTTAGAGGCCCCTGAACCGCAAAACATCCCAAAACCCTCGCACCCTCTCCTATACTGAACTTAGAACCCTAGCACAAATTATAATTTCCGCTGTTTCTTAGGGATTATAATAGCCAAAAATTAAAAAGTATGTCTAAGTACCCCAAAGTCTCTCCGAGCGGCATCATGCATCTCCACTCTCTGCCAGGGCTGCATGAGGCCAGGATGGCTCTCACCCTGGTCCAGGCGGACTACGCAAAACTCCACATCCACATCCGGGTCCAGGGAGATGACCTGGGGCAGACGGCTGAAATGAGGAGCTAGGGCAGAAGGGGCGGGGATTGGGGGGAGCTTAGGAGTTTAGGGTTCATAATTATGGGTCTTAGGGGTTTAGGGCTTTGGGTTTCGGGTTATGGGTTCCAGGGTAGACGGCTGAAGAGTTTTGCGGTTTAAAGTTCGAGGAGGGCCTGATTCTAGTCTGTCGAAGTCCGAGCCTATGCCATGCTTGAGCTATACCCCCCTTTCAACCATAATAGAAGCAATGTCTGTAATATTCTCTGGGTTTTCCATCAACAAAAACCAAGTAAATCCTAATGATACTATAGTAATACTAGTTACTAGCCGTTCTGTGGTAGGACTTGCAGGGTCTCGAGCCTCAAAAGCTACTTATCAGCCTGCATTCTTTCTGTGTGGCAAAGTTCGCACGAAGCCGCAATTCCATCCTGAATTGAGCTTGATTCCATCTTTGGGTTCTCTCTTCAGCAGCCATGTTTCGATGTAGAATGGGCATACCTTGAAACACCGAGCAACGAACACTAATCCCGGCAAGAACCTCATCCTGACACTCCAAACCCTGATCCAAAGCAGAAGCAGCGGCTGTGGAGGTCCAGCAATCTCCTGGGTGTGGCTGTGCCAAACGAAATTAGGACCATTAGTTCAACCTTGACCCCCCAGAAGCGCCAGGCCCTAAACCCTAAACCCTACAAGACCAGGACCTAAATCTAGTCGGTTTAGGGTTGTGGGGTTTACCAGGGTTTAGGATCTAGTCTGAATAGTAAACGCACGTGCAGACCCGAACCCCCAGCCTTTCAAACCCAGACAAGGCAACCTCGGAACCAAGCCAGCACGGCGCCATAAACTTTTGGAATTCCCTAGGTTCCTAGACCCTCGTATAATTTTTGTCTAACTAAAGCGAACATCCTCAACTTTAAAAATTACCCCTGCTTCCAACGATGATGAAAATCCACACAACTCACCAGCTATTAGGAATGTCCAAAATCTGAAACCTTAACCTTCGTGAACTCTAAACCATTCCTGAAGCCGAAGTCGTGTAAACAAAGAAGACCCTAACACCAAGAGCCTAAGGGCATAACCCTGTACCCGAAAATTCCTAAACCCCTCCACCCCAAAACGACCCACCGGGAAATACACATTTTGTTTTGTCTAGGAACCGACAAACGGCAGACACACACGCACACACAACTCAACGCAAAACTGCACCCCCAAACCCCAAAGTAACCAACAACCCAAAAGAAACCCAAAACTTTCCCAATGAAGAATCTGGCTTCCTTCCCACCAGAGGTCAAGGCCTCCCTGCGGGTCCCAGCAATCATCGTCACCGCCACCCAGTTCCTGAGATTTGAGGAAGATGGTAGCCTTAAAGGGAATAAGTTTATATAGGGTTTAGGGGTTCGGGGTTTAGGGCGTCGTTGAGGGATTTTGCTTAGAGGTTGCAGCATCTGGGTGGTTCAGGGTGTGGTTTAGGAGTTCATGGCAGATTTCTGGACCTTTCGCGGCATGTCGGTGCTGGAGGGCCGAGTTGTGGCAGTTTTTTGCAGGATTTAGGGTTGTGTCTTCGATTCGGGATTATAGCTGTCGGGGATCTGGAGTTTAGAACATCCTTGAACCTGAACCCCCGGTCCCCTTCTCTGGGTTTAGGGTTTAGGAATGTTTAGGACATGTTTTGATATTTGTTCATCATGAGTGTGGTAATAAGGAATGTGGTTTAACAGTTTTACCTGACGACTTTTTACCGTCGCAATAAGGATCCGCATAGAACCCTACGACACCTTGGCAGAAGACTACAGAACGCCCCCCTGACTATAACAAAACCTGTGCAATAAACGGCTAAACGGTGTACTCTGTCAGCTCTGGCTCCTTCAGATTTCCGACGATCCGTGGTCTCATCGGTCCGGTGCCCGTCCGCGTGTCGGGCCATGCCCAGGAAGGTCCACACAACACCTATAGGGTCACTTTCGCCATAGGGATTCAGATCTGTACTGACAGTTATTGAAAACGGACAGGGGTCTCTTTATGTATGCCTGCGAAGTCTGGGGATTCATGCGTTCCGTTTCCTCCCGGTGACATCAAAGTGATTGGTTTTGTGACGTATCCTACATCGTCGAGCCGGAAGCACGACCTCGATGCTCCAGCGGAAGCAGCTCACACGGAACCCTGCTTTCGTCACATCCCCCCACCTGCGCAGTGTCCTGGTCCAGGCGGAAGCGGATACCAGAAGGCTTCGATGGTATTCGGTCGTCTACCAGCCAGTCGTGGGAGGAGTAACAGGAGCTGTCCCAGGAGCCATTCGGAACGTATCTACAGACGTGCTCAGCGCAGTTCTCGTCCCATCCAGAACAGTTCTCGTCCCATCCAGAACAATTCTCGTCCCATCCAGAATGATCCGAAGCCAAGCTGTTGCCAGAGTCTCTCCATGCATCGTCGGGTTTCCCTCTTCTAGGGCTCTCACAGCCTTGCTCTCTTCTCTGCCGCCGTCCAGGGCTTCTCCTACAGCTTTTCTGAGATCCACCGACCTCCTTTCTGACATTTCTTATCCACCACTTGCCCTCTGAGTTTACAGACCGATGTGCCTTTCCGGGAGAGCCCGATGGTCCCACTCTTCGCTTGTGCCAAGCTTCTCGTGACATGGTGCTTACGAAAGAGGCGCTGCTTTCATGCTGTGCGCGCGACTACTGTAGTGGGAGTTGACGCCGGGCTTTGGGGCGATGGGGGGAAGGTATTCGGTGATCCCATGAGGCCTTGAGTTTCCGGGGTTTCCGATCGAGGCAGGGCTATGGATGATGAAGCACTGCATGCTTTGGCATCGATGGCGCAAGCTGAGACTGAAGAGATGCGAAAGCTGTGCAAAAGACCAAGTGCCCGAATGGTTGTCTCACTGCCTCGGAAATGCTGCAGGACGAAAGAAGTGTAGAAGCGAGCAAATCGCAAACCTTGGCCATGAAATCTCGCGACGACACGACGACTGGAATCCACCAGCTACACCAAGCTACTCCCACTTAAGCCTTATTGCGCTTGAACATAAGGCACCGCCGACCCTGAACTCACCAAGGATTTTTTGGAGGCTCTTAAGGCACACTCTTGACCCAGCAGCATCTCCTTCCCCTCATAACCACCCGCATAGCCCATCTGGCTCATCTTATATTTAATATTATCTGAAAAGAGCATCCAAGCAAATGGCTGATGATACCGCAAAAAATCTTAGGCCAGGTACCTGGTGCTGAGGACCTGGTATAGTAGAGGGGCCTGAACAGCTTGGAATAGGGTCTTGGGGTAATACTACTATACTGTTCACACCTCTACAACATAACCAATAAGGCAGAAGGGTGAAGGTTGAGCTCAGTGTAGCCTGTGAACCACAGAGCAAGTCGCAGAGTCCACCAGGAACGATAGGGTTTAGTGGCGCTTACTGCTTGGGATTATAAGGATAATTTCAAAATGACAGGAATGGCAACATAACAACAAAAATCGAGACGAGTACACATGTGAACAACTCGCTCGCTGTCTCTGACTTGAAGCAGTATTTCTGAACAAATAAGAAATCCTACGTCCGATCCTAGTTTCCAATCCTAAGCCTTGACTTAATTACTTCCAAAGCCATAAGTGCCCAGACAAAAACAGAACCGATCTCCCTTACCTGACCGGACGTGGCAGAGCAAAGCCACCTCCAGTGTTGCGAGACTTTTTCAGTGGGGTATTGTTTGGAGTTTGCCGTGTTGCGGTTGGGGTCGAGGTCTTGGACTTCAAGTGCCTTTAATTCAAGCGGTTCTAAGTCTATACAGAACTTAGAACCCTGGCAAAAAATGCAATTTTAGCTGTTTCTTAGAGATATAATAACCAAAAATTAAAAATATTTCTAAGTACCCCTAAGAAGGGGGGTCAGGAACATGAGAGATTCAGGTTTCGGGATGTGCGGGGCTTTGGTCAATGCGCAGCTTCGGCTAACATGGATTTTAGCGCTGTTTTACGAAGTGGTTGGCTTCGCTTTCGGATGTTTATGTGGCGGTTTGCTAGCATAGCTAGCGGGGGCGGTGCATTTTGTAGAGAAGCTGCAGCTTCTGGGACTCTTATATGGCCATCATGATATATCATGATTATTATGCTCTCTGCACACTGACCTCGTACGGCAGTATTGCAGTACTGTCAACATCCATGTCCCTCCAATAAATCCTAAACCACATAGTAACAAACCCTAACCCACCTAACACTAACCCTAGCCCGCATAACAAACTCCAGCCCAACAGACGGGGGAATCGGGGAATCAGGTTTCAGGCCTTAAACTGCTGAGTAACAGCAAAGACAACCGTCTCGAGCCTTGCGGTCTACATCTCTCAACCCCAAACCTTGAAATAGAACTCCACTCCGATGGCGGCGCGCTATAGGAATTTGCGGCTTAACGTCTTCGGGACCGGCGTTTGTGTGTATCATCGTCTCGTTCGCGACGCAAGCATGATATGTCTGTACCAACCGCATCACCGGAACGATCCTACAACTCGCGGTTGCAGGTTTAAGGTTTAGGGTTTACGTTAGGCATGAATAGCATCTTTCACCCTAAACCCTAATGTTCAGCCACTGAACCACCTCAACAAATCCCGAGTCGTTGCAGGCCCACACCCCTCTCCGAAATCGAGCAAACCCCAAGCACGGTACGGCTTTGGGGTAAAATGCTGATTCTGGTTAGGGCCAGGGCACGAACCTTGGACTTCGGGAGAATTGTTGCAGAAAATCGAGGCCCTGGGACCCCAAACCCCAAAACTAAAAGCCTGAACCCCAAACCCTGAACCCCAAGTCCTGAACCCTAAACCCTAAACATCCCTAAACCCTAAACCCAAACCCTTGAGTCCCAGGCGATTGCCACACCATCCGGAGCAACAGCCCCACCGTGAGTTCGTCATGGCTCGTCTGCAGGAAGCCCATTAGGCCTCCAACTGCTTAGAGGCTTTAGAGTTTAGATGGTTTAGGGTTTCGGGGATTTAGGGTTTAGGGAGTTTAGTGTGTAGGTTTCACGGAGTTTAGGGTGTAATTAGGGCTGAGGGAGTTACGGGTGTAGGGTTTAAGGAGTTGGAGTTTACACTTGCTCTATGCAAAATCTACACACCTACACCCCGAATCCCAAAGCTCAAGGGCCCTACAACGCTTCTCCGGATTTCTGCTGAGAATTATTGGCCGTTCAGCTCTTTTCAAGATTTCTGCTTGGAATTATTGGCCGTTCCCGCCCCAACTCATCACAAATGCATCAACAAGCCCAAATCTCCAGCGCAAGGCAGAAACCGTGGATGCCCGTAACCCCGAACCAGGGATTTGGGCCTTGGAGGCTTAGGGCTCAGGATCAACATGGGAGTTTCCGAAAATAGGGAGCCCTACTATAGGACCCTAAATCGTAGGATCCTTATTTTTTGGACCCAAATAAGGTACCCCTTGCTTTCGGAAACTCCCACATGTGAGAAGTGCTCTCATGTAGGGCCTTTGGAAGCAGCTATCACAGTAATATCTACATACGAGTATTAACGTGTTTGCATAACATTTCATGTCATGCCATATCATATCAGGTCAGATCAGCTCATCTCATATCATACCATATCATATCATGTCATAGTATACCATGTGACATCATATGCATTCAATCTGTACATTTATGTGTGCCCGCACATGCACATACTCGTACACACACACAAACACACCCACACAACCACACACACACACACACACACACACACACACACACACACACACACACACACACACACACACACACACACACACACACACACACACACACACACACACACACACACACACACACGCACACGCACACGCACACGCACACGCACGCACGCACGCACACACACCCACACACGCACGCACACCCACGCACGCACACACGCACACACGCACACACGCACACACGCACACACGCACACACGCACACACGCACACACGCACACACGCACACACGCGCACACACACACACACACACACACGCACACGCACACGCACATTGCACGTAGTTTCTTACCAATATCACTGCCGGTCCATCTCAAGCTCTTGTTGGAGACAGCCTCTACAATGGTTCCTTTGGAGGACCTCGAAACCCCAAGGCCCTGAAAGCGTTCCTACACTACTATCTGTTCAGGCTTCAGGAACTTTCTCTTCGACGCAGGGAAGCTTCTTTCGGGTTGAACTAGTTGGCCTCGGTTGAGTTGTTTAAATAGTAAAATATGGATTTATTATTTCCATGCGATCAGGCAAGCACCACGCAAGCAGCCACGGCTTAGGGTTTGGGGTTTACCCATAGGCAGCATATTAGTTAAAAGGTAATCCCAAGAAGGAACTCTGGGGCCTGTGGGTAGGGTTTAGGTTTTCTTGCTGAGACAACTCCAACCGTCCCTTGCTGAAGAAAGCTCAAGTTCTGTTCAGGATGTCGTCGGGTCATTGGGGAGAAGTCTGAAAGAGGCTCGCCTCCTGAAGCCGCGGCCCCACAAAGTAGTCGTCAAAGTAGACAGACCAACGGATATGCAAAGGTTGACGAAGCCCACGGCCCAGATCGTACCGGACTTGCGGCAAAAGCCCTGCGCAGACGGCTTTGCGTCGAAAGGAAGGACTTGACTCTGATAGAGCTCCGGCTCTCCGGTGCGAGGATTCAACATGCAAATGTGCGTGTCTCCAAGGGCACATTCGGACAGGGGCAGCTGCTTGTATGCCTTCCGGAGATCAACCGTTCGCATAAGGAGGTGCGCTTCACACCTGGCCTTGCGAAGTGTCTTGCTTCGCATCAAGATGCCTGCCACAATGACCATGATGGAGTGGGGATCTATTGTATAGGGGCCTTATTAATTAGAATAGGGTTTTGGGGCCAACTATACTATCATTATAATAAGGAGCCTTCAAAGTAGTATTGGTAATCATTTAGGTCCCTATGGTAAAGCGCTAAAAGAAGGGAAGTGCTACATAAATAACGAGCTTGTACACATGAGCCGCTGACATGAGTCTTCGGGGCGCTTCCCCATCCACCCAGAGACTACAATATCTCTTAATTAAGGCTTGCGCGCCTAAAAAAAAACACCGCTCGAAATGTTGACGACGAGGAAGACAACGATGATGATGAAAATTACGATGGTCACGATGATATCGATGGCGATGGCGATGATGATAACGATGATGACGATGATGATAACAATCGTGGTAGCAATGATGATGACCTAGCGATCTGGCAAAGGTGACTGTGCAAAGACCTTTTGCCCCATACCTTTTCCACCCACAAACCTCAACAAACTTGCCGCGACCTTCAAAGTCATCGGCCCCACCAGTGTTTTCGCCTTCTGCCGTAAGACTCGCTTTGCAGCCCAGGTCCGGAGAATAAATTCAGGCCGGCTTTTCCCAGCACACAAAAAGCCCACTGCTCAACACATTGATGACGATGATGATAACGATGATGATGAGAATGATGAAGATGATGGTGATATCGATGGTGGCTGTGAGGATGATAGCGATGTTGACATCGATGATGATAGCACTGATGGTCGCCTAGGGCGCCCAGAAAACTGGACACGAAATCGTGTCCCGTTTTTGCTTCTGCCACAATACCGCTGGGGAAGGTCAAAACGTGCGATTTTGCTGCGCCTGCCACACT